AAATGCTTCTTTAAATTGTGACCCCCATGAAGACTTACATGATTTTGGAGTGATTTTAACATAAAAAAAACCAAACAGCCTTTACACGACAGAACCCATTTGGTGCCATGAGCTATGCTTGCCCTTTCTATGAGTATACATTTTCCTCCTGCAGCGGCAGTTATATCTAGTGGATCTGAGCCTGGTCTCTGGAGCTAGACTGCTTGGGTTTGAAGGTGGCCTCCCTTCTTGCTAGCCTTAGTCTATAAGAGACTTGGCTGCTTCATTTGTAAAATGAAGATGATGCTAATAGGACCTACCTCATTAAGTTGTAAGAAATGTAATACAAAGCAGAAAACAGGGGAGAGGGGAAGGTAATCCACATTGAATACTTGGCATAGTGTCTGGCTTCCAGTAAGTGTCTGATAAATGCAGTTATCAGTGTGGCTTCTAAGATGACAGAAGGTTTAAATGGAACAAGAACTCTTAGAGAAGCCAGGGCTCAATCATCCTGGTCTTTCCATCATTCCACTTATTTATGTGGGCAGTATCCTTGGCGGTATCACTGTAAGGAAAGGTATAGCAATGACTTTAAGAACCAAGAAGTCAAGTTCCCCAGTGGGAAGTGTCATGCTATGTAACTAGACAGGAGGCCCATCAGGTACGCAGAATACATTTCAGTAACATCTTAATAAAGGGCGTGTGCCTTCTGCTGGGATGACTGGGTGCAATGCCATGTGCATGATAGGTATGAAAGACTGAATGTTATCATTTATTCATCAAAAACATGCTGTTAGCCAGAATACAGATTTTGCAAACAGCCAGTTTTCCTAAAGGATTTGCTCCTTCAGATCATAAAACCTCCTCATTACTCAGCACAGAGATGAGTATAAATTAAGTTGTAAGCTAGTTTATGCAAATTATTTTACATTTTCCTGCCTCCCAGCTCCTCCCAAAAGTAAAATAAATGCAAAACAGTCTTTTTTCATTTCTTCTCTTTGTTTTGATCCCTACAAAGTAGCCATGATATTTCCAGAAAGATGTGGAAAGGTACAGTACCCCACAAAGAAGAAAAGTTGGCATATTTTATGAGGTATAAAAGGTTCTTTATTCTGTGTTTGTTTGCCTACCTGTCAGCCTGCTTATCTGAGAGTGCCTGTCTGCCTTGCACCAGGCAACAACCAAGCAGCCATTTAATCCTGCTTGGTCATTAATGACTCCCTCCTCTGTACCTTGACCACATTGCAGGGAGGAACCTACACCAGGGCAGTCCAGGTTTAGGTTTCCCAGCAACCTGTGACCTGGCCGGAAAATGTGAATGTGTCAATCCAATTCCCTCTGCCTGGAATCCAGGCAAAGTAAGCTTTGCCAGTTAGCCACGGGAACTGCAGCTGCAGGATCATGAGGAAGGCAGGACCATAACAACCTCAGCCAATTGACCTGTATGTTGGACAAAGCTGGGCATTGGGGGAGCTGAGGAAGCAGAGAAAGTAGGAGTTACTTAGAAGGAAAAAGCAGCATTCAGAGTTCAGTTGAGTAATTTTAATGGGTAAATGCTAGAATGTCCAGAACCAAGATCTCCGGACCCTGGCCCAGCAGCATCCCAGGACAGTCCTCGTGAGGACAGTATTTATACAACCTTGCCCTGGAGATCAGGGATGAATGGTCCCCTGCCCTTATTGCTTCATGGGTATCCGTATCACTTGTGTTAGGTTTTGAGGCAGGGAGTACCTCTGTTTTTTGCAAGGACAAGAGATTTTTCTAAAACACTTACCTGATGTCACTGAGAGAGGCGTTGGCTCAAAAAAGCCATTCAGGCATAACCTTGTGATAACAGCAGTTGGCAAGATGACAGTGTCCAGATCATACATAAACATCAGCTCCACTGAACTCTGATCTCCTCAGAACCGGGGGTACCTGTTTTAAAGAGGACATGAGCAAATGAGACATCATGCAGATGAAGGCAGCAAGTATAATGAGAGGGTTGGAAAGTTTCTCATACAAGTACTGAAGAAATAGGAGATTTTTTTACTTGGAAAAGTAAAAATTAGGGAGACAAAGGATGTTTCTAATATATGTAGAGCTTCCACGTGGACGATACACTGAGCTTGCATTTTGTTCCTCTAAAGGCAAGAATTAGGATTGGACAGAAGTTACAAGGAGCTAAAATTTAGTCCAGAGTTTCCCAACAATGGAATGAGAGCTGCAAGACAGGGAGTACACAGCCTCTGGGGGTGTTCAACGAGAGACTAGCTGACCAGCTCCCTTGTACCAGGAGAGGGGAGTTTGGACTAGAGAATATCTGACAGTATCTCCAGTGTTATGCACAATGGATTTATCTACAGTGACTAAACATTACCTCTAGGCTCTCAGCGAAAGCTGCAGAAAGAAGCTGAAGATTAAGCAGACCATAAAATAGACATTCCTTTTTATCTCTAGAAGACTCCAAGTGGTCCAGCAAGAGAAGAGTCATGAAATATCTCACACCCTCTCTTATCTACATTTGTCTCTGGGGCTGGTGAGACCATGCCTCTGCCAGGGGAGTGATGTTGTGGGACCTCCTCTTACTGAGATAGCCTCTTAGAAGGGTGTTTGCTCATTGTCTTTTAAGCAGATGGAAAATTCTGGAAAGGAACTTTATTTTTTAAAGCTTAGAGGATGTGTTGGTTGGTGCCAGACAATTTTCCAAGGAAAAAACCCAAATCCAACCAATTTACCCCCCCAGCCCAGGGCAGGTGGTACAAAAAAGCAGGCAAGCTAATTCTGAAAGCTCTAACCATACTTTAGCACAGTTTATCCACGGCCTTCAGTCCTACCACCGACTAATCATGCAAGTAAGTCCGGATTATTGCAGAGACCAGACACCTCTGCAGTCCTGCTAGAACAGACCAAACAAAATACTTCCCTATGCATCTTCTTTTCTGTGTCTGCCTTGGTCACTTCCATTATCCACATGTTTAATAATTTGGCAAAGGAAATGGCAGGTGGAGAGAAATCCCAGTATGTCTCTCTATATCAGGGGTGCTTTCTGGACTTCCTCTTAGGAAACAGGAAACAGCATAGCAGAAAACAACTTCTGGGAGTTTGTTAGTCAAGGCCTGGCAGCCAAGGTGATGAGTGGGTGAGCTACCATTCCCACTGATGACAGGACAGTCCACTTACCAAAATCCCTAGCCAAAAAATAAGTGGTTTTTTTTTTTTATTTCCATACTATGTCCTCACACAAGACAAGGATTCAATTCCAGAACCAGTAAAATAGAAACCTGCCAGAATAGAATGCCTTCAGATGAAAGTGGTTTGTCGTCATCCAGGGTTTAAACTGAAGCAGAGCTAAATTATTGTTAGAAACCAGAACCATTTTGGAGAACGATTTGGTTTTCTGTCAAACATGCCAGGCCATTGTGGAGCACAGAATGAAGCCCTGGAGCAATCAATCCAGCATCCTTCCGAGATGGATAGGTAAGGCCCTCAGCCCAGCCCCATGTTAGGTGCTACCCAGGTATCTATGCCTGTCCTGGCCAAGGTGACAAGTTTGGCAGCATTTCCCAGTGCTCGCCCTCTCCCAGCCCTCTTTGTCGTCCAGTGCAGAGCTGTGCATTCCACTGCAAACAGAGCCTGCCATTGAGCCATTTTTCTCTGCACTGCGCATAGTTTCTGCTGCCAGAATGAGTCACCATGCAACACATACCCTCATCCCCTCCACGCTGTACTTAAAATACTCCAGGGCTGGCCGAACAGAACCCCACTGTGAGTGAGCACGTGTGTGAAGGTGGGATTGGCAGCTCAGCCCTGCAGAGCCCTCTGCAGAGCAGTCTGCATTGTGTTTGGCAGAGAGATTCAGAGAGCCAGTATTTGGGGAGGGGCAGAGAGAGGAAGGTCTGTTTTTCAAATCTGGTTCCACCTCATGCAGCCTGCCAAGTTGCATCATCTCTTTTGCAGGCGCCCTCACTTTAGCTTCTCTGATCTTGAACAGAAGAATCTTACTGCTGGGGGTTGATTTGTCCTGCCTCTTCTCCCAGCCTAGCTTCTGACTGGCCATCTTGCTACAAACAGAACTGCCCTGTCCTGCTTTTACCTGCCAGCCTGTCTCTGCCTCCCAGCATGGATTTTTCTTCAATCACAACAGCATCTAGTCATTTCCTGAGTTAGAACTTGTCATCCTTACTGGGATGGAGGTCCCTCACTGCTCTCCTGCCATTCCTGCTCTCTGCTTCCCCTCATCCACCCACACACAGAGCACTAACCTTGGGCAGAACCATCCCTCTTCCTCAGCCTGCACTGAAAAAAGGGGATTACAAATTGTTCTCCTCCTCCTGAGCCTTTAAACTGAACTGAATAATTTCTTTTTCTTTTCTGCAGAGAAACACTAAATTTCCATAGGCATTGACAGAAAAGTTGTCTTAGTTCCCCATGGTCCCCACCCTCCTCCACACCCAGCCACACATTCCACCTGCCAGGGGAACCCTGCCCTTTGGAGAACTACACACGTTCCGCTTTCAACCTGCTGCTACAACACCCTTCACAGAAGGGGCCTTGGAACAAAAGCCCAGATCAGCACAGCCCAAAGGGACAGGATGTGCTTGAGTTATTCATTACTTGAGTTGGAAGAGGTCACGGAGCAGGAAGTTCACTGGAAAGCAAGGGGAAAGGTGGCAGAGGGGGTGGGGAATAAGTCAGGGTGACCTTCTAGGGGCTGATGGGAACTCAAGAGTCCTGTTAGGGGGTGGGTATCAGAGTGGGAAGGTGACAAACTCATAGCAACAGCCCCAAGGTTAGCCAAGGTCAAATGGAAACTGCTGATTATAATTAAGCTAGCTACTTAGTAGCTCCTGCTATGCACTAGGCACTGCGCTTAACACTTTCCCACATCTCCCCTTTTATCCTTGCAATTATGTATCACTTCAATTTTATAACTGAGGGAACAGCCCTGGAGAGAACAAGTGACTTGCCCAAGGTCACCCAGCCAGCATGTTCTGAAGCTGGGAATGTGAATGCAGGTCTGTCTTGCTCTTTACCAGCTTGCTCTGTGTGGTGAAGTGGTTAGATGGGTGGTACAATTCCAGATGGTCTAGAGTGGCTGGGCAAGTGGAGTCTGAGATGAGCTACTGGGAGAAATCTGGTTTCAATAAGGCTGAGATCATGTTCTCCAGCAACAATCCCAGATTTGAGGAAGCCTGGGGGAAGCTGGCTTAGGATGGAGCTGCTGCATTGGCTATGCAGATGTGACCCTCAGGACTTTATCAGTACCTGTGAAGAGTTTCCATGTAGGGAATTGGGGAGAGTAGAGCTAGGGACCTAAAATTTGAGAGGGGAAGATATTCTCCAGAGGAAGACAGTAAATCAAAGACTACAGACCAGGAGGTGCAGACGGCTCATCAGTCTACTGGGTGTTTTGCTATACCTCTGAAGACTTAAGGTGGGACATTTTTTAGGAAAAAAGAAAATCGGTCATTGGAGACTCTCTTTACATACTTTGTTTTACCACATGCTTCTTCTGGAAGTGGGGTTGGGAATTAAGGGTGAGGTATAGGAATGGGGTGGGCACAAGCAAGGGCACTCTCCGAACCACCTCATCCCTTCCCACACTACCCTTCCCCCACTCATCTCTTTTTCCTGATTCTACCCACAGGTTTTCCTTCCTCTTACAGTAGTGGGCACTCAACAACACATACCCTTCTCAGCAACCTGTCCTGCTGGAAACTCCTCCATAAGGTAACTTCTGCCTGAAGGGGACCAGGGCATCATATCTGCAGGTGCAGCCTCTTCCTACAGCTCTCATACCACCAAGCTGGGGCTTTTCCAACATAAACATTACAGGGGCTAAGCAAGAGGTGGCTTCCTTTCTCAATAAGCTGTTCTCTCTCGCAGTTGCCCTTGACAGAGCCCTGAGGCCTCCCCCACTGAAGCTGGGTGGATAGGTGGCTGCTTCTCCCCTGAATTTCAGGAATGTTCAGGTTTGCACAGGTCCTGCAGGCGAGCCTGGAGAAGGATTAGTAGGAAAATGCTCATTCTTCATTAGTTCTAGCTTGTCTTTCAACCTTCGAGGTTGACCTTGGAGACAGAGGGATGGCCCGACAAGCAACCTGGTATTGGGAAATTCTCTGATATGGGGCTGGGACGTCAAGATGGGCCATGGTGGCCCCTGGGGATGGGGCTTCTCAGCAGTGGAAGCAGAAGCGTCCCGGCGTTTTCTGCTGTGTCACTGCCCTGAGAGGGATGTATAAAAAGCTGCTCCGGGGTTCATAGGTACGGGATGAAACCAAGAGTTTGGCTTTTCAGCAACAGCGGATAAAGGGTGAGATTTTGTCCTGTGAGCTAGGCTTTCCCAAAGGTCCTTTGGCTCCAATAATTGTACAGCAGAACAAAGGGATCGATACACCTAAGGGGGCATAAAAGCATGCCAACGAGAATACCCGTTGCCGACCTGGCATCAAAGAAAGTCCTCGGTGGCTGGGTCAGGTGCAGATATTGTCGCCTGGGGTCTAGACTGGCGAAAGTTGCAACCGGTTTCGATCGGACGGCTCACGAAGGGATACCCCTCCCGAGCCCTGGCTCTGTGCTACCGCCCTGGGTGGGTTTGGCCATTGTCCAGCTCGAGGTGGTTCAGGCCGCCCACAAGGAGCACAGCCGGGCAGTCAGGAACCGGGGCTGCCGGCTGGGCCGGCCTGCAAGGAGAGGGAAGGGCCGGAACTGCAACCGCAGTGGCGGGGAGTGCAAGGGGGCGGCAGGTGCAGGAGCGGGAGGCGGGGCGGAGCTGGGCAGAGTCCTCGCCCGTCCGGCGTCCCAAAGTGACCTTCCCCCACCCCGCCAGGGCCCAGGAGGGGTGGACCCACAGCCCAGGGAGGCCGGGAGCGCGGGCGGGCGGGGGGGGTTGGTGGCTGGGCCAGGAATGCCGGGCCGGAGTCCTCCGGGTTCCGGGCGAACCAGGTGTAGACCACCCTGCTACGGAAGGGGCGGTTCGCGCCCAGCCGGGAGCGGGGAGAGGGCTGCACGGGGCTGCTTCAGCGTCCCTCGCTGCCGCCCCCGCCTCTCCCTCCTCCCCTGCCTCCCCTACGCCCCGCGCTCCTGACTGCCCCTCTAGCCGCGGCGGCTCCTTTGTGACAGCCCCGTGCCCGCCCGCTCTGGCCGAGGCCCCGCCCCCCGCGCCGGCGATTGGCCTCCCGGGCCGCTAGTGGGCGGGGCGCGCGGCCGCCGGGGCGCGGTATATAGTAAAGGTAGGGCGAGAGCCCTCAGCGAATTCTCGGCTGGTGGCGGGCGCGCAGATGCTGGCCTGCAGTCCGCTTGTCCGTCCTTCCTTCTGACTCTCCTGCCCCTGGCCTTTCTCTGCAGTGGTCACGGGAGGCGGGGGCTCAGCACACGTCCCCAGTGGCAGCGGGAGAACAGCTGCGGGTTCGCGGAGCCCCCGAGCCCCCAAGGGCTAGAAGAGCGCCCAGCAGACCAAAGAAAGCCCGCGAGCGGCCGCGCGCCCACCAATAGGTGCGGGGCTCGGAGCCGCGCAGCCTGCGCCGTCCCTCCCTCCGTCCCCGCCCCGCCGCCGCCTCCTCCTCCTCCCGCTCCTGCCTCGGCTCCTCCGCCGCGCGTCTCGCACTCGGAGAACCGCAGCGGCCGCGGCGCGTCCTGCCTGTGGAGAGCCAGGCCGGAGACGCGGAGCGGCGCAGAGGACGCCAGGGCGCGCGCCGCAGCCACCCACCCTCCGGACCGCGGCAGCTGCTGACCCGCCGTCGCCATGGCCCGCGGGAAAGCCAAGGAGGAGGGCAGTTGGAAGAAATTCATCTGGAACTCAGAGAAGAAGGAGTTTTTGGGCAGGACCGGTGGCAGTTGGTGTAAGTAGGGGTCCGCAGCTCCCGGCCGCAGTGTCCGGTCTTTCCCGGGTGGCGCATCCCCTGCGCAGGCTTCGCGGCCAGTTCGGCACCCGCCGCGCTGGCCGGGGTGGAGGGGGTGAGGGTGGTGGGCACTGCTCGGTCGCGCCGGCCTGGCCTTGCCATCCTGTGCGGAAATGCGGAGTCCCCAGAATGGGGCGCAGGGTCGGGGCTGGAACGCGACAGGCAGAAGGTTATGCGTATTGTAGCGATCTTGGCTTGGTAATTTGCAGGCTTTCCTACTGTGCCTCGGTGGAGCCCTTTCCTCCTGGGAATGGCCAGGCTCTGCGAGACTACATCTGTCTCTCCTCTGTCCTGAGTCCTTAAAGAAATGAGATCTGGGGTCGTGAGAACCTCAAGAGGCAATGGGATCTAATGCAGGCGAGGTTGTGTGTTACAGCATCTTTCTTCTAGTCTAAATACGTACCTCAAAAGAGAGAGGAAAGGGAAGGGCGGAGAGGAATCCATCCACACTGCAGTATTTCACAGCGATGGCTAAGGGTTTCCCTCCGTGACCTCCCCTGGAGTCATCACCACCCAGAAATGGCTCAGTAAGCTTCATGTCAGGACTCCGATTCTTAGCCTTGGCCCCAAACCTGGCAAAGTCTGGTTGTTTTCAAGGTCTACCCAGACAGATGTGGATCAGTCAGTAGCTTGGGTTGATTATGGTGAAGGGCTAGTCTAATATAAATGCAGAAGCAGCTCATCAAAAATATTTTGTGCAGCCTGTTGCTTGGTTGGATGGACGTTTCCCATAGAAAATTAGATTCCTTGTTTTCAGCCTCTCTACTCCGGAAGGGTGACATTTTTTTTTTTTTTTTGTAAAAGGTCATTTTGAAGGGCAGAGTTGTAGGCGAATCTATAAAAGTCGTGACTGTGTGATCGAGCGAGCGAGGGAGGGAGGGAACTCCCCCTGCTACATCACTGCCCCCTGCTCCTCCAACATCATCATGATCATCATGATCATCATGACTATCGCCAACACCACTAGCACCACCACCGCAGTCATTCACGGAGTCCTCAGCAGAGGCCGATTGGTGTTCCGGTTTGTGAGGATCTATGGGAATCAGCAGGAGAATGAGTCAGGGAAAGAGTGCTTAGCTGACATTTTGAAATGGAAGAAGCTGGAATATATGAATTTTTGTAAAGAAAAAAAAGGCAGCCCGTTAGACTCTCTTGATTGAAAAGTAAAGGGTTAATAATGCATCACATTTCAAGGTTAGTCAAGGTGAAGCCTCTTTCTAAGGTGTTACTGGGAAGCATAGGTATCCCTGAGCCATGGAAAATGTACCTCTTTAATGGGTTTTAACTTTTTAAAAAATGTTTTGTTTTGGGGAGACTGTTCTTCATGGAGATTATTGTCATAGTGTCTGAGGCATAAAGGTAGTTTCCTGTATTTTCTTAATGTGGAAAGGAAAACCTGAAGAACTGTGGGGTGTGTGTAGATAGCTTCCTGGCAACTCCTTGTAACTTGAGGGAGGCCTGGGAGGTGCACTGTGGTCTGGACACCCTTCTTCCCAGGTTAGCTGGGGTTTCCTTAGCTGGTGGTCTGACCCTGCTGCGTCACGGGGCAGGGGCTGCATTGACTCTAGGGACATTGTGAAATTTTCCTTCTTGTCCTTTTCCCCTTCATAAAACATTTATCTTTCCTCATTCCAATTTTATGCTTCTTAGAATAATATTTGCTTTAGAGAGTAAAGCAGTATGGACTGACTCATTCTTTAAGCCGACATTTAATGGGCAGCACCTCCAATGAGAGAGAGAAAGAGAGACCGTGTGTGTCAATATTTATGTCTTGATATCCTATCTACCGAGCTATCAGTATGCTGATTTATGAATGTAGACCCGAGGGCTGTTGTACTTGCCTCCTCTTCCCTTCCATGTTCCGTGGTACAGGTACGGGGCTAAAAAACCGCTTTTTGTTTCGTGCTAATATGTCTGCCTCTTTCTGGCAATGTAACAACTGTCAGAGTCTCTCTTAGGTAGAGAAGGTGACAGCAATTACTGGCTCTTACAGAGAAAATGCCCCTTTTCCAGCACTGGGCCCAACATGGATGCCCTTGGGGTGAGGACAGGATGCCCTTGGCTCGGTTTTGCTTCTAGGTGGATTTTCACCAAGATGGACGCAGGAGACTCGCCTGTCACCTGCTGGAGAAATCACAGTGTGCACATCACTTTGTGCTTTCCACCTTTTTATTAGGTTAATACAGACATTGGTAGGTTTTATATTTATAGCTAGGCCTAGATGCCTGCCTGTGACCTTTTGAAGGGTACAAACTTTTTTTTCCTCCAAAAAAACCTCTGTGTTGCTTTTTCTTAAAGTAAGAAAAATTGCATGAAAGGAGAAGCCTCTAAAGCCTGCCCACTCCCCTAATAGTGCCACCCCAGCTAGTTGGTGTATTAGCCTTGTTTTTGGGTAGCCCCTGGTGGCCTGTGTCTGGGTGAGCCACTGCATAGGCCCTTCTAGTCCTGAATGCTCTACTCTTTCCCAGTGACCTCACGGCAGTAACTAGGGAGATTTTATCAAGTAACAGGTCAGAGCAAAAAAGGAGAATTCTTCACTTTTCTTAGGATATTGTGTGGGTAGAATGGAGAAAGGCTGTATGATTCTGAGCTTAATTGGCATACTTGCAAAACGACTTATTTTTCCATTGCTCTATTTGTATTTTAAACTGTAGCATCAGTTAGGTGCCCTCCTATGTTGTTAGAATGAGGTATCTGGAGTCCAGGGAATGAGTGTAGAGGTGTTCCAGTTGTTCAAAGGGGCACATGTCCTAAGGTAAGAGCACCAAGATGAGGTGCGGGTGGGGAACAGTGAGAGGAAACTTGAATCAAGGCTACAACAGCTGTCTTGCTGACTGTTACACCAACTCTTGCACCTCTTAGGAGCATTCACTGGAAAAATTTTCCAGATCTCTTGACGTCACAGCATTGCAATTTGCCTACTGCTGCTTGGATACGGAAT